CCTGTCAACGACAACAAAAACAGAATCTACTCCCTTTTGTGTATGGGGGAGTCCCAACACGAAGTCCATAGAAAGGTCCTGCCAAATATCATTAGGCACAGGCAAATGCATGTAAAGACCAGTGTTTTAAGACTGACCCTTAGACACCTGACAAGTGTAGCATTTTTGCACGATCTTTCCCACATCCTTTTTCAATTGTGGCCAATAATATCGCTCCTCCATGCTAGCAATTGTTTTGTCTCTTCCCAAGTGTCCACTTAGTACGCCTCTATGTAAATCTCGAATTAGCTTCTCCCTCAAGGATGTCTCAAGAATATAGAGTTTGGTTGCGAATACACTTGGACCAAATCTTTTTAAACTCTTCATCGACGTCATACAGCTCTTTTAAGAACTCAAATCCCACAATCTCTTGAGCCATGGTAATAAGCATGTTTGTTCTTAGGCTTAAAGCATCCGCCACACAATTAAAGGTACCTAATTTATGTTTAATTACAAAAGGGAATTTCTGCATGAAGGTACTTCACCTTATATGTATCTTGCTCACGGATTTCTGATTGTTGATGAACTTCAGGGCCTGGTGATCTGTATATAGTACAAATGCACATTGCACCAAGTAGTGCTCCCACTGTTTCAAAGCACGAATCACTACATAAAATTCATGCTCGTAAGTACTCTATTTTTGGCGAGCTTCACTAAGTTCCACACTAAAAAAGGTTCTTCTCTTGAGACAAGACTGCACTACTCCCACCCCACTTGCATCACATTCGACATCGAATATCTTTGCAAAGTTAGGAAGGGTTAGAACCGGGGCGGTGCACAGCTTGTGCTTAATAAAGGTGAAACTCTTCTGTTGCTCATCACCCCCACTAAAACTTTCCTTGCTTCAAACACTTAGTGATGGGTATAGTAATGGTGCTAAAATCACGAATAAACCTTCAATAAAAGGTAGCCAACCCAACAAAGCTTCGTAACTCGCTTACTATTCTTGGGGTAGGCCAGTCACTAATAGCTCACACCTTATCATCATCCATTTGAATGCCATCCTCGCCAACAACATAACCCATAAAAAGTAATTTATTGGTGCAAAAATTAAACTTTTTCAGGTTGATGAAAAATTGGTTTTCCTCCAAAACTCGAAGGACCTATTTCAAATGCACCAAATGTTCTTCCTTGGTTCGACTGTAAATCAAAATATCATTCAAATACACCACAACAAAAAAACCAATAAAAGGACGAAGAACCTGGTTCATAAGGCATATAAAAGTGCTTAGCACATTTGATAAGTCAAAAGGCATCACCATCCACTCATACAAGCTATCTTTGCTTTTGAACGCAGTTTTCCTCTCATCGCCCTGCTTGAGGCAAATCTGATGGTAACCACTTCCAAGGTCTATCTTCGAAAATACCTTCAACACATCTAGCATGTCTTCCAACTGTGGTATTGGAAGTCTATATTTGATAGTAATTTGTTGATCGCCCCACTATCAACACGCATACGCCATATTTTGTCTTTCTTGCACCAGCAATACTAAGATTGCACAAGGACTCATGCTCTCACAGACAAACCTTTTTTTTTAGCAACTCTTCTATCTTCTCTAGTAGAATGTCATTCTTCTTGGGACTCATGCGGTAATATGGCAGATTGGGGAAACTTGCCCTAGGCACCAAATCAATTTGATGTTGGATATCCCTCATGAGAGCTAGCTAGTTGGGTAGGTCGTCAGCAAGCAACTACTTGAACCTCTACAAAAAAAATTTGCACTTCTTTTGGGATTTCAACTTTCTTAGAGACGACGGCTAACAACCCTTTCATCATCACCGGATAAATTGTTTCTGCATCTTTAATGGCTTCTAAACAGTCACGTTCATTGCTAGCTATGGTAAGGAAACTGGAATTCGTAGCTGGTTTCTCATGTTTGCCAGAGTCGTTCACGGGAGCCATAGCAATTTTATAAGATCCCCAATTGAAAACATACACGTTATCACGTCCTTTATGAGTGGCATCTGTATCAAACTGCCAAGGTCTACCCAACAAAATGTGACTAGCATCCATATCAATAATATCATAAAGAACCTCATACTTGTAATGCTTACCAATGGACAACGGTACCTTGCAAACTTCTGTCACCTAAACTGAAAGGCCTCTCTTCACCCATCTCAAGGAATAAGGTGATTCATGCTTCTCTGTTGGCAACTTTAAATAATCCACGACTTTTTGGATATGAGATTCTCGCAGCTACTACCATCAATAATTAAACTGCACACCTTGTTGTTGATGGTACAAAAAGATCGAAATATCTTATGTCGCTGCCATTCCTCTTGTCTTGGTGCGAGTAACCCCCGCTGCAAGACTAGGTTAATTAATTGGTCGCCTTCCTCATATGCAAAATCAGCTCCTTCATACTCTTCATCACCACCATGATCCTTATTGTCATCATTATTCACTTCAGTCAAGTTAACTTGTCGATGATTGGGACAATCATTGGATTTGTGGTCTAGTTTGCCACAACGATAATAATGATCTCCATAAGGTTTTGCATATAGATTCGGTCTCTAGAAACGACATTTATCCCCAGTACAGCTACTACCTTCTGCTGCTCCCTTTGTGCCCTATCATTTGTTAGTGTTATTATTCCCAGGAACTTGTGCAACTTTTTTACCTTTGTCTTTTGTAGGGACAGGTGAATCGGCAGATTTCTTCTGAAAATTTCCAAAACTCAATCATCTCTCATTCTCCATAAGCTCCGCCCTGAGGGCCATGCTATTGGCCTCTTGCACGGTCTAGAAAGTCTGTAACCCAATACGATCTTGAATGGAAGGTTTAAGCCCATTCATGTACCTTGCCACATGTTGACTATCGGTTTCATGTATGCTATTACGTTTTGCGATGCCCAAGAATTTAGATATATACTCTACCATCGTCCTATAGCCTTGGATGTAATTGTGGTAAAGGCGATACAAATATTGCTCAAAGTCTGCAGGGAAGAATCTGTCCGTCATTAATTGCTTCATCCATCACCAAATCCGCATAGGATCTTTGCCTTGCCTTTAGGGCGTCTTCTGTAATTGATCCCACCATACTGCAGCACTTCCTTTGAGACGAAAAGCTGTTATATTCACCATCTTCGCCTTGGGGACTTCCGTAAGTTCAAAGAACCTCTCTACTTCAACAAGCCAATCCAAGAAATCTTCAACTTGTAAGTGCCTATTGAAATATGGAATTTCAGCCTTCAAGAGATAGTCTTCTTGGCATTGGTTACTAGGTTGGGCATGATTGTCATGAATTTCTTCCTCCAACTCCGCATCGCTATCTTCTTGACCAGAGTGCCGTGGGGGACGTCGTTGTTACATTGGTCTTCTCCTTTGTCTTCGTTTGTCCATGCTTGGTTTGTCCATGCCAATGTAAACCTCAAATATATTGATTGAAAAATAATATGAATGATTCAGGATGCTCCAACGCATTCCTTATACAAGAGAAACCCTGACTTGGTTGGAAAGCTAATTAGAAAACAAAAAGAAAAATAATAAAAGTTTCCCAAAATATTCTAAAAACTTTAAAAGTTGAAAATTCAAAGCAAACGATAGAATTTGGCTAAAATAACTTATACATCATAACAAAGCAGTGAGTTGCATTTGTCACGCCGTTCTATTTGAAACGATAGGTCATGGGCCCAATTCTGAGCTCGAGGCCCATACTTGCTCATATTGGGCTTTGCTGCAGTGACGACGTGTGCGCCTGTCTACATTGGCAAACCCAATAAAGGACTACTGTGAGCAAGTGCCCACACTTAAAAAAATAAAAATAAAAAAGTTGCAGCAGTAAAATCCCACCCAAACTCTTTATTTTTTTTTAGGTCCTTCTTAGGTAAAGCCCTCACATGGCCCATCCAATACATACACTTTAAGCCCAAAGCTTATATTAAAATAGAAAAACCCATGTTATAAAATAATAATAGAGATCCCACCAAGTTCACTTATTAATGATATGCATTCCAACACCAACTTTTCAAAATTACAAAGTATTGCTACTCTTGCAAAAAAAACTAGTTGAGACAAAAAAGGACAAGGCATATCCACTAGTTTATCTTCTCATAAAATTGGGGTTAACACTTCCAATTGCAATAACTTCAGTAGAAAGGGCATTCTCTGCTATGAACATTGTGAAGAACAAAATGCGTAATCGAATTGGAGACCAATGGATGAATGATTGCTTGGTAGTATATCCTGAAAAAGACATTTAATAGTATTGATAATGAGTTTATTATGCAATATTTTCATAATATGAAAAGTCATCGATGACAATTGTAAATTTACTTATTAGACAATGCTATTAATATTCTAAGTTTGAAATATTTTTTGTGTGGCTATATATCGGTTGGAATTTTTTTAAGCCCCCACATGAACGAAAGTCTGGGTCCGCCACTGACTGTCCAGTTGTTTCTCAATCAACTCGGCCATATGTTCTACATTAGGGATTTGAAGAGTTGTTTGTCTGTCACAATTGTTGTCTCCCCACTCGAATTATATTATCTCAGCCTTCAAATATATCATATTACAGCAGGATGCGATGATTTCATCAGCTCACTCTCTCTTCTATATAAGTGTAAGGACCTAAGTAGTTTTTTCAACATCAATTTGCAGTCTAGCACTAAGTACACTCCATCCTCCTATCCTATTATTTACGTTTACTTCTTTTTGTGAAAATGTCTAGCAATCATGGTAAGGTAGAGACTGATGTTGAAATCAAGGCTCCTGCTACGAAGTTCCATGAAATGGTGACACACAGACCACACCACATATCCAATGTCAGCCCTAACAACATTCAGGGTTGTGATTTACATGAAGGTGAATGGGGCACCGTCGGCTCTGTGGTCTACTGGAATTATTTCCATGGTAAGTAAGCCTCCCTATAGCTTCAATTAACATCAATTATATTATATATTATGTTCATGTCGTTTGATGTTAATTTCTTTCTTCAACTATTATTAATTGTTATGCAGATGGGAAAGCTAAAGTTTCCAAGCAGTTGATTGAAGCCATAGACGCTGAAAAGAATCTGATCACTTTCAAAGTGATCGAAGGAGATCTGCTGGAGCATTACAAGAGCTTCAAGATAACCTTTCATGCCACTCCAAAAGCTCATGGTCAGGGCAGCATCGTCCATTGGACTATGGAGTATGAGAAGCATCATGGTGATATTGAGGACCCACATACCTTGCTCCAGTTTGCAGTTGATGTCTCCAAAGATGTCGATGCTCATCTTACAAGTGCCCAGGCATAATTAATTATAATCGAAGGCTTGATTGAGGCGGGCTTATAGGATCATCTGTGATTCTGTGTGCTCCATTTATATCTACTATCCATTTGCTTTCTTTCTTGCAGAAATAAACGCCTTCAATCAATGTTTGTATCTTAAGTCTGTGCGGGCACTGGGCAACCTGAAACTTTCATTTACTTGTGTTTGCTGTCCTTATCTTATATGATATGGGCTATGTATCTTTCATTAATTCCAAGTCGGGGCTTTACCCCATATAAAGCCATATTTCTACATACACTTGAAATGTGTTTCTACATCTCTAATGTCCTCAATTGATCTAGCCACTCAAGTTCAAATTTTTCTTCTCTTGTTAATTTAAAAATAAATATATGTAACATCTCTCATCCACTCATCATGGTTGTGATTTATGTAAGACATATTTATCTAATATGAGAGAATAGGAACCCACACCCCCCACAAACCAAATGAAAAATAGAGTTAGGTTATGGAGACAAGATAAGACCGATCTTATATATATGAGAGTAAGTTATCAAGACAGAATTATTACACAGAAAGATAGATGTATAAATCCTCATAGTCCCTCATAAATTGATCAATATGAGCTTAGTCAAGTTGGTTAAAGCGGACGTGTTGATTCCCATTCTATACTCGAGTTCAATCCCCCTCTTCGTAGTCTAGATTAAATTAAAGTAGAATATAGTTTATATAAAAAAATAATAAATAAATAAATTACTTTTTCCATTTTTGCAAATTTAGAGAGTACACACCAAGAATACTATAGTAAGGGTCTTATATATGGCCTTTAGGTGAGGTCTTATCTTTTAACCGTTAGATCAAATTAGTTAGTATGATCTAACGATTAAGAAGTATGACATCACCTAAGGACTATATATAAAGCCCTCACTATAGAATAACTTGAGTACACACAAACATGCAGTAATGGACTAGCCGAACAATTTTTGAGCGATCAAAAAATTTTGAAGCCCACTTTTTAGATGGAAAATAATATAAGCCCAATAATAAGAAGACCAGTAAAACCTGGGCCAGCAATTATATATCGAGTCTCTGAAGGAGGAACTGGGCTAACCGGGCAAAATAATGTTGCGCTATTAATTATGTAAATTGAAGACTTTTCAACTCGAGTCTCAGTCTTCAAATATCAATAGAAGTTTAACAAATTGTAAAATCACATATTCTGAGCTTGCTCCTCAATAGTCAAGGCATACCGGAAAGTAATTATAGAATATGTCAATTAATTTCAGATGCAGGGGATAAGGGTAGAGATTAGTTTATACTAAAACCAAAAGACTTATTAGAAGAGACCCGATAAACCTAGGAAAGTCCCAAAGGATGCCATGCCAATTAAAACTGTTCCCAATTGCATGAAGCATAAAGCCTTAGTGCGCAGTGCAGCAAATTTGGCTTTCAGTTCCGTTCGGTAACGTTTTTAGAAAATGTTTTCTTAGAATATTTTCAAAGAATGAAAACAAGAAAATGAATTTGCATTTTCAGGAAATGAAAATGCATCTGGTAGATTAATTAGAAAACATCTTCAGAAAACAAAAACAATGAAAACGTATCTGATAGTACAATTTGAAATAATAATATGTGAGTTATTTTCATGAAAACATTTCTCATGAGAATAAAAACAACTTTTTTCTGTTTTCTACAAGTACACATGAACTTGTTTTCATTTTATGAAAACATTCTCAGTGTTTTCTGTTTTTGGGCCACCTAACGTGTTTTTGCCTCATAGATTCCAATTGGATCCCTTTTGTATTCTGTTTCAGTCTCTTTCTTATGTATTTGTTTATTAAAAATCACCTTTCATAGCAAATAAAAGAAGAAAAATATAAAGGAAAGAGGTGTATGTTTGGTGTGGTCACAACGAAGAAAATTCCTGAAGGCCGGCGTACAAGCAAAGGCAAGACAAGAGGCATGAAAACTACCTTTTTTTTAACAAAATACAGAACCCAATTAATCCAATCTCTTATTATGTTCGAGTAGCAGAGAGGGTATGATGAGGATGAAGTTCATGATGTTGGGGGGGTGCAGACAGCAACGTGCAGCTTACTTGGCTTAGCTTGTTGTTATAGTCAGCCTAAGAAAACACGCACGCACATAAATTAGCGGACAGTTTCCTTTTGCCTTTTGCTGTTTCACTTTCTTTCTCGTTTTTTCTGCTGCCATGTCATTATTATTGAATCGATGGTGTCGGGGATGGAGCAACTGGGGTTGATTGATTGGAAGTAGCATTGGTGGTGGATAGACGTCGCCTGGGCCCATTTTAACGACTCTTTTATAAGCACGACGATGACGACGGAAGAGATGATGACGATGTTCTCAAGCAACTTGTTTGAGAACAGCAGCAGTTATAGCATGCCGCCCTTGTCATCCATTGAAGAAGAAGAAGAGTCTACAATCTCTGTCTCTGATGATGATGATGATGATGATGATGATGCAGATAGTCTTTTCTCCATTGATTTTAATTTGAATCATAATAATATGCATAATAGTTATAAGGAGGAGGAGGAGGAGGATAGGGAAGTTTGTTATTATTATTATTATGTAGCAGTGGGGAGGAAGAGCGAGTCTAGCATGGATGCCCTTCTCTGGACGGTTAACCACGCAGCTACTCCTCAATCATCATCCACTTCACTAGTCTATGTTGTCATCGTCCATGTCTTTCCACCTCTTCAATTCATTCCTTCTCCATGTAAGTTCCTTCAATTTATTCATACTCTCTCTCTCTCTCTCTCTCTCTCTCTCTCTCTCTCTTCCCAAGTCAAATGAGGAAGCGTGTCATACAATGAACCTGCACTCACTGTATGGTCTAGGTCATACATGTCACCTTCAATCCCATATATTCATTAGTTTACTGTAAAATTTCCATTTTTTCCTTTTGTTTTTAATTAGTTCCATAATGATACCAGGGTGTATACATATCTTATCTAAGCGTAAATGACACGAGTTGAGTTGAATCCTTCAAAGTCTTACAGTACCCTTGTTTTATAATTAAAGTCTAGCCGTATGCTGATATCCCAGCTTGGGATATGCATATGGATATATATTATATATAATAAGCCAGAACTTATAGATACCTAGATTAAGTACTGATCTCAAACGTTATAACAAGCTAACATCATTATTTGTGTAACACAGTAGGAATGCTTCCAAAAAGTAAAGTGAGCCCAAAGCTGGTGGACGAGTACATGGTCCAAGAAAGAGACAGAAGGAGAAAGCTCCTTGAGAAATACGTTGATGCCTGTTCAGCTGCCAAGGTACACCAGATTTCAAAGTTTCAGGCCCTCCATGCTGCTATTTACAAGTTGATTAACTTTTACAACAATGGAACAGGTCAAGGTGGATGTTATGCTTATTGAGAGTGATACGGTTTCCAAGGCTATCCTAGACCTAATTCCAACTCAAAACATCAAAACACTTGTTGTTGGAACCACCAATTCCAGTATGAGGTACAATCACTTCGCTTGTAAATGCCACTACGAGAACTCTGTTTCAAGAAGTTTCACATTTCCAAGTTAAAAGCACAACTAATTTTGTTACGGTTTTGTGTAATTAAGGAAATTGAGGTCTAAGAAAGGAAGTGGGATTGCTAGTCAGATTCTACGAAATGCACCTAAAACAAGCTGCGAAATTCGGATCATCTGCAAGGGCAAGGAAGTGATGGATCAGGATCACACGATTACAGGGTCGATTTCCTCACGTAGCAGCAATGCAAATTCCTTGTCTACGCAAGAGGAAGATGATAATCAAGAACTACCAATCTCACCAGATTATAATAAGCAAGGGCTGCATTACACGCTTCCTGCAGTGAAATCTCCATCAGCAATTCCGGACACTACTACTTCTGCTCCACTTCTGTCTTTAAATGGATACAAGGCAATGTGGAGGGGAAAACTAAAACCAAAAAAACAGCTTGATTTTGCTGTGTAATGTAACGTTTTTAAAATTTATAGATTGGCATGTATATATATATATATATATATATATAACAGTGTATACTACACATTAAATCGACATGGCACACATATTTTGGTCTTAGGTATAAAATGTATACACGTCCACTCTACCATATTGGCACTTAAATTATATGTTGGATACATAATGATGCTTCTTCTAGTTTTATACCGATATACTTCCACAGATTATAGCAGCTCAGCCTACAATTCCACTTTTTGCATACTTTTCGATCTGACTAATGTCGAGGCTTTTATCCATTCCATTTGCTATGATAAATCTGCACAGAACCAGCCAACTTGATCAATGAATCATTTAAGAACATTATTACTATTTATTACTGTTGTATGAATTTGGATACATGGGACTTACTTATCTAGAAGAACTCTTGTCATCGTTTGGCAGCAGCCAGGCACAGAGGATTGCATGTTTACTGCAATATTTGGGTTGTGAATGCTCTGCCGGATGTGTACCCAACCATGTTGTCCATGTTCCTCATCTGATACTTTTGCTCTGAGATGTTCAAGTTTTAATTATAATTAAGCTTAAGAAATATATATGATCCAAATTTAAATCCATCAATTGTCAAATTCAACTCTTGTTTTATATAGCACCTGTACATGTGAGCGTCAACGGCAGCAGCTGAGGTGTCATTTGAGTCTACAAGGCAGCCTTCACTCACCCAACAATCTCCACATGAATCTAATTCCCACCCTTCAAGTCTCCCCTCCTACAAGTCAATATATGTTTTGTTATAATCAACCAAAATCAGCACTACTAATTTATCTCCAGTAGAAGCTGGCTTGTACATGCAAGTACCTCAACGTACTCTCGGAACGTTTCAATGGCCTCAATGGCTTTTTCTTTTGCATATCTTGGTTCAGAGACCACGTTTATCCTTAGCTCTATGGACTCTGCTGGTTCTTCAAGGTCTTTGATGATATTACCAACCCCTTCATCCGATCCTGCAAGCTTCATGCGCACCATCTCAATGATGATCTTTACCACCATGTAAGCCCCTATAAAATGAAATAACCATTTATGCACGCACATAATTAAAATTCTAATTGAACAAAGCAAAGCAAAAATATAACATGCAGAAACCATAATGCTAACCATCATCTAGGAAATGGTTCTCTTTAAGAGCACCATGTCCAGATGTTTCCATCATGAGATGAGTTTCAATGCCCTCCTTGTTAAGCTGGACTCCCTTATCAATGACATTTCGGTAACCAACCCGATATAAGCAATGGTGTCCCCCTCTATTGGTGATGAACCTTGTAAGTGCCATACTTGTACGAGCATCGGTCACTATGGTTGTTCCGGGGTGTTCCCTTAATACAATAGCAGAAATTAGAGCAATGAGCTTGTCACCATTAATGGGGTTGCCTTTGTTATCTACAACACCACTGCGGTCCACATCAGTGTCAAACACAATACCAAGATCAGCAGAGTTTTCTAGCACTGCAGCTCTGGTTACTGCCATGGCAGTTTTGTCCTCTGGATTGGGAATGTGGTTGGGAAACATCCCATCTGGTTTAAGGTGTAGAGAGCCAAAGGTGTCTGCCCCAAGCTTGTCCAAGACATCCCATGTGAAGAAACCTCCTGATCCATTACCTGCATTCACTATTATCTGCATTAAGGAGCAATTAGTGATATGTCAAAGGCGTACTGTTCTGAATTTGAATAAAGACCTCAAGTATATGACATTTTGTTGGACTAAGAAGGCCAATTAGATTTGGAAACCTGAAATCCTCGGAGCGGAGTTTCATAATGCAATGGATGGTTAACTCTCTCCTTGATAATGTCTCGGAGGTGCTTTGCATAAGTGCTCATGAAATCAACTCTTGATAGAGGAATATTAAGCAATATTGAAACTTTGGTGAGCCTATTGGCATACTTCCGGGCAGCTTTATCGCACATGTCTTCCACATCCGGGGAGCTTAGTCCTCCTTTCTTGGTGAAAAATTTGAGACCATTTCGGGTGTAGGGCAAGTGAGATGCGGTCATCTGCATCGCAACATTCAAACCATCAAATGATGAACTCACTTTATAACATTTAATGTTAGATGCCCTTCATAATCTTCTGGATATTGACTTAATAAAAATGTGATTTCAAGTACATATGTGATATTAAGGCCAATATAGATGTTGCTCTGTATGTGCTACCATGATTGAAGCGTCATAGGCAAATGGAGGCAAAATTGTACTCATGAAGCAGGCAGGTGTAGTTGCAAGTCCCATATCAAAGGCCAAACAACCTGCTCGAGCCAGGCCTGAAAATACAGCTACACTCAAAGATGCTCCTGATATTCTTGGGTCTCTGCCAAGGGACACTCCAACATTCTCCACAGGATGTCCTCGCTCCTTCTCCAAGCCATTGATGACCCATTCGCCAAAACTCTCCGCTATGGCCTCCACAGCCGGCGGTGTTAGGTCCACTGTCCGTCCCTTCTCGCCTTCCAAGGCCACCCCACGAACATCAGACCCATTTTGGAGCCTTCGAATTCTATCCATCTCTTCATCCACCACAACTTCATTGTAGTACTTGGCAGTGCTAGAAGACTTCACACATACAAATTTAGTACTTAGTGGCAATGAACATGGAAAACTAAGGTTAGTGTGGGATATTCTGGGTGCTGACTTTGAAGGGAAGCATGGCTTTTGAGCATTGGTTTGCAAAGATACTGAAGAAGTTGAAGTGGAAGCCATTAATTAATTCTGGTTCTGTTCAATTTGGCGCCCTTTGGTTGTTTTTCAAAAGCTTTTGAAGGGGGGATTTTTAGACCAAACAAACAAGTTTGGAGGATAAGATATCTCAGTTAACTATAACCCTTCATTTCAATATCTATACAACACTGGAAGAAATATCTTTGAACAAAATGCCAAGTACCCAGATTTTTTTTCTTGTTTTATGTCGGGCAATGTTTCTTCTATTGTCTTAATGTGCTATTGATAATCTCCAAGTCCATGAGAATGAATGGCATATTCTTGCATACCATAGGATGCTTTCACGTTTAAAACACTCCCCAAGAGATAACGAAAGAGTTAACGCGTTACTTTAACATGTGAAATTATATGCAATTTATATGCCATTTTAAGTAAATTCAAAGATCATTTCATTTTACACTGTCCTCATCTCACCCAGCGTCCCTCCCAGCCCCCCTTCCCCTTGCCTTCTCTTCATCTTCTCTTCATCCAGCAACTCACTCACTTTTTCATTTGTTCTTTCACCAGTCCTCTTTCCCTCCACATTCATCTATCTGCCATCATGCCTACAACCACTGGAATAGAGCCCTCGCGGTAGATTTAATAACAAGATCCAACCAACACATTAAAGTAGTGTGTGTGTGTGTGTGTGTGTGTGTGTGTGTGTTTTTTTTTCTTTGGTGATCAAGAAATAATACTTTCATTCCAACAGAGAAGCGGGACAAAACAAAAGTTAGATGTAGTTACATGATTCAAACTTTGAGATGAAGAAAATACATTAAAGTAGTCATTCCAAGCAGAAGACATGATGTTTGCTTGAAACAGATTATATACATTAAGGGACAAAACAAAAGTTACAGAGCAGAACAGAGCAAAAAGAAATTTGGGTTCTGACTAGACACCTGCTAAACCTTTAGAACCAGGAAGGTGGATCCACTCAATTTGAAGCACAATTTCGCCGCACTCGACGTTTTTCAGTTTGAGAATCATGTCCTGAACAATTTTGCCATTTTCCCAAACGCAGCAGCTCTCAGAGGACAGGCAGTTGGTCCTGTTGGGCTGAACTTTCTTGACGGCGCAGCCCTTCGGGAGGACGTCCAACCCCATCTTGATGCACTCAACGTAGGGTTTGATGTCTATGTCTGCATCTCCCATCTTGTCGTCCACAGTTAACGTGTCCTTGTCGTACACTTCTAGATGGATGTTTTCTTCGAAATTTGTAACGGAAAGCGTCAGCTCCTCGTTCCACTGAGGGTTGCAATTCTTCTTTATCACTTTTGTCTTCAGTTTCTGGGAACCCATGGTGACCACCACGTAAGGATCACTAGTCTTGGTATCACGAACAGCAAGGTTGATGCCTCGCTTGATCCGAAGCCTCAGAAGTCCCAGGATATTGTTCATCTTTATTTGCTTGCTTGCACAATCCTAAAAACTAACTTAGTTTCTTTCTGGTTTTCGAGTTTCTTTTGTTGTTTGTGGTTGTGAATGAGATATGATACGAGACCTGGCGTGGATAAAAATGTGTGCTCAGGAACTCAGGTATATAAAATGCCAACACAGTCACTGTGCAGCGCTTAAAAGTCGTGGCAAATGTCAATACGGCAACCATTCATGGACAGACCACTCACTCATAACAACCGATCACTTTGTGTTTGCCAATTGAAAATTTGGAAGTGGTCCACCGACCTTATCGCTTTACCAACCCTATTATTATGAGTCAATTCTTTTCAATAGACTCCAAGGCTTATTGGGTTACTGGGTAATTGGGTTATGGACATTATGGGTTATGGGTAGGGCTTATCATTGAGTTATGGGTTTTGGGCAGGGCTTATCAAATTTGTTCGGGTACATTTTGGTTTGGGTTGGCCCATCAAATTTTGTATTTGGTTAGCGCCCAATGCAAACGTTCAGTTCATGAATTGCTTGTGTACACAAGAGTCATTCTAAAATGAATGCCTTATATATGGCCCTTAGGTGATGTCATATGTCTTAACTGTTAGATCAGGTTAATCAATTTGATTCAACGACTAACTAATTTGATCATACGATTAAGAGAAGCGTTGGAATGGGCTTTGCTTAGTAAGGTAGGAAATGTAGAACATGAAAGCCGGCTTTTTTTATGAGTTTCATTGAAATTGTTTTCAACGTATGGGAAAAGGGAAGAGGGGCCGCGTATATTACATATAATCTTTGTATAGTAATTTGTATACACATCCAGAATGCTTTTACTACCATATCCTCTGAGAAGACTTGTGATTTGGCTGTCTTACCTTTGTTCAGCAATATCATTCATTTTTATCCTCACCTTTTTTAATGGGGGGGGGGCAATATCCTCCATACCATCTGCATCAGACTATTGCTAACTAATTATATGGTTTCATATAGTTTAATTTAGGATTGCTTTTCCTGAATCCACGCATCCAAATTCCAATCCAAATGCACGCAATGCCAATATTATATACACAAAATGTTTGCTAGCTTTTTGTATTCACTTATACAAAGAGAAGGGAAGGGACCCAAAGTTATCATTTTCAATGAACACTTTTCAACTTTATGTCCTTTCATACATCTCATAGCTGGAAAAGGTTAAAAGGGAATTTGCAAAGGATCATCTTCCACTCTCACTCAATATCATGTTACACATGCCCTGCTAATGCATGTGTATTGTCCATGAACCATGAATCATGAATGTGCGTGATCTGAAGGAACATGTGGTTGACATCATGGTACAGCAGCAGATGCAGTGGTATATGATTCTTCATCACATAGCGTTCTGCGGGTTTTTTTCGTTATTTAATTTCAACCAATAATTGAAGTTACTCATTTTTTACTTCCAAGCCTACCAACAACTAATTAAATAATTAATTGATATATTATTATATTATATCAGAAAATTTAAGCCTCTACTTTTTGGCTGATATGACATGACTGGATTTTGGTTATCAACTCGACGAGCCAGCAGCTTCTTACCCTGCTTGGATTTGGATGTGTCATGTTCTCCAAGAAAATTGTGATATTATTTATAAATAAACAAATAACACTTGATTAATTTTTTTGGGTGAACAATACCACTTGATTAATTTAATTGCTCGAAATCCTATTATTCTCTCTTATGTCAAAGGTTCACACCCGATATGCCACCTAATTACCAAAACAAATTAGTGTTAAAACTTAATTAAATCAGCCTCTCTCTCTTGACCACAAAGACACGGTTGGTGGGTTTGGGAACGTCAACTTGTATCCGCACATTCAAAGAATATATCATTTTTCACCGGGAAAAACAACTTTAATCATATTTTCTATTTACCTCTCTTTCTATGGGAGGGAATGGGAGGGAGTATTATAATGTCATTCTTAACACACATCATTCTTACGCTAACATAATAAAGACAAACATATGTTCAAAAAACTAATTCTCCAATTATGGGTAGTTAAACTAACGGATTTAGTCCCTCTTATTATATTAACAATGCGTAATTTTTATTATAAAATCGTAACTCAAGTGAATAAGTGGACAAACTGTCTTGTCCAACTGGTCTAATCCCGACATATATAATTTTATTTTAAATAAGATGGAAAACCCTTGTGGTTTTAATGACCATTTAGACACAATAACAAACAAACAAACCCACACTACGGAGATTAAAGAAGAATGCATTAATTTTAGGATATTTAATTTTTAAAAAGAAAGAATTTGTCTAGAAAACCCTAAAGATAAGGAATTTGGGGCCTCCACAAATAAAATGGAGTGTAAAACCACTAAGAGCAAAATGGCTGGTGAGATGAGTTGGATGCTAAAACTTCCTCTCCAAGCATAGAGTGTAACTAGTCAAAACAAGTGAGAAAAAATAAGAAGAAAAATAACTGAAATTCAAATATTAAAGAATTAGTCACACTAATTATTTACTGATTTAGCCGCTGTCAAAACTGACACGATAAGGAGTACGCGCTAGCAAAAATAACGGTAACAAGAAGGAAGGAAGCGGTAAATTTGGAAAGTCGGTGGTAGTAAAATGTACCCCCAACCGACTCACAATTCCAAACGAAAGAAGGAAACCGGAATGTAAATATAAAAGCAAGCAACTCCAACCGGCTCTTCTCCCCAGAATTACATCCCTTCAAAAATACACACACTCCGGATTTGATTCTTGGAGAGAAGAAAGAGCCGCCTCCGGTCCCAACCAAACCCTAACCCTAATTCCCAAATTTCCTTTCGCTTTCGTTCCGTTTCGATTGATCCCCTCCCAGAAACCCGCAAAATTCTTCTCTTCTCAAATTTGTTTCTTGATTCGAAGCCAGCAAGTTGTGAATGGTGGAAATCTTAAGCATCAGTAATTTCATGCGCTCCCTTTTACAATCAAGGGCGAGCGCTTTTCTCCCGATCTCTGCTGCGTCTGCTTTCGCTTTCGGCTCCTGCAAGGAAGGCTGGTACTACCGCTGCCTCGGCGTCGACCCCTGAACCCCCTTCGTCTCATATATCTCTATATTTCCTCTTTCTCATCAACCTTTTTGATTATCGCACCCGGATTTTCATTAATCGCCGTCCGTCGGTTTTTTGATTATTTGATTGAGATCAATAACTTGTTGGGAAAGAGGGACTCGGATATTTTTTTTAGATTTTTTTTGTGTTGGCTGCCTTTTTTGCTGTTGATTAATTGATTTGAATTCGATTACGAAACGACGAAGATGTTGCTGTACAAGCAGAAGAAGAATCCGAACAGCGCCAAGGGCAACAGGCTCTTGATCAGCATCACTGTGCTCGGCAGCGCCGGCCCGATCCGCTTCGTTGTCAACGAGGAGGAGCTTGTCGCTGCCGTCATCGATACCGCCTTGAAATCTTATGCGCGTGAGGGCCGCCTTCCGGTTCTTGGCTCTGATCTTAATGACTTCCTGCTCTACTGCCCTAACTCAGGACCTGATGGTAATGAATTCTCAAAAATCCCTATAATCTTATTTCATAAAAATTCAATCTTGTTTCTGAATCAAATTTTAAGAATTGAAGCCTTACCCCTTTTTATATTCTCATGACTGAAACAACCCATCTCAGTGTTGACATAAATTTGTGAAATTGAATACTGTTTTGGTGTTGGTTATGCGAAATTGGTTCATTATATTGAAATACCCAGCTTCTGTTTTTATGCATTTCTTGAATATATATATCTCTAGGATTGCTTATTGACGGTGTTTGTGGATTTCATTGCAGCTCTGAGTCCGTGGGACACAATTGGAGCACAAGGAGCTCGTAACTTTATGCTATGCAAGAAGCCTCAGCCAGTGAAAATGGATAGTGATGAAATACCAGCGGCTGCAATTACTCGCAAGGGTAGTGGGAGTTGGAAGGCATGGATCAATAAGTCCCTCAATCTCAAGATCTCCTCCCATTAAATTAATGGGGAATGAGAGAGTTTTGTTTGAGTTATTGGTGTTGTGTTCATTAGTTATAGAGCCAGCTCTATCCTTGGGGCTGTAATCTTTTCAAGTTTTTTGTTTTCGAATAAATTACAGATTGGTTTGTTTGTCATTGCCTTCCATGGCATTTTTGCCCATAGCTTTTGAGGATCTTCTAGTGATAGTTGGAACTCGGGAGTTTGCTTGCATTTGTTGTGCAATGGTGGAAGTTGCACTGTACCTTTGATTCGGTTTAGTTGCATAATTAAATGGATTACTTCTTTCATGATTAAATGGAAGTTGCAGTCTGAATTTTCTGACATTATGTGTTCAAATTTCAGTAAGTAGGTAGGCTTCTAGTCAATCAATTATATCAATTGAAGGGGGCTGCTGTTGAATAGGCTTTTTGACCACTCTGATTAATTGAATCAGTGGTTTGCCAACAACACTTATGTTTTAGAAGCTTTAAAATTAGTACAGTTCATGTGCCTAGTGTGGTGAGCACTCATGGTATGCTATGAGACATTTCAAAATTTTTTTATTTTTATTTTTTTGCCAGCCATTGTGTACAAGTACAATTGCCATCTAGGCATGGGAATATGCCATTCCCATCTTTTTCTGAGTAGATGAGATGCCCTCTGCTTCTTACCAACCAAGGTGTTACGTATGAACTTGAGCTTGCCATCGGAATATGCCTCTCAATCAATTAAAGGTGCTACATTATGCCTCTCAATCACTTAGGTCCTTTCTAAATTCGGAATCTAAAACGGCTAGACTACTTAATTGCAAATCACAAACAAACACGTATACAAAAAATATTTTATTAAAATCACAACAAAAATAAAAAATTAGCTTCCTCGCATATAAGGAACCGAATATTTTTCATTTCTAATGGTTTAGTCAAAGAGAAAATGTGCCGGTGATGTCCACTTACCCTCTCCCCTCGTCTGATTTTGTGTTGCGACCGTCCACCATCACAAGTTCACAACCACAACCACAACCAAGGGCATCAGGTTTACTATTCTGTGAGCGACGTCATGTCTGATGATCCTATCCTCAAACGTGCATGTGGAACAACTGTCAACTGTGTGTACGTAAGGTACCACAAACGTACGTGGCACCATCACAATGTGTGTCGTCTCCTATATTGTCCTTATCACCGTTCATGTATTCCCTCGTCTCGTTTAAAGCCACGAATCTCTCTCCTTTTTTGGGTGTGTGGGTGCATGAACTGTCTGTCTGCATCATCATCCCTGCCACGATTTATGTCTTCTTTCTCTTGTAGTCTTTTCACACGGAATTGAATTGATTTGCAATTTCTCCTTAAAATCTTTTCCTTTTTGTTCATTGGGTCTTAAATAATTAACAAGAATGAACGAAAGAAGGTGGGTCTTAATCTTAAATTTGGATTTTTGAGCTGCCTCTTTTCTGCTTCAACTTTGAACACTTGTTGCAACCACGCCCACTTATTTCTGCACATCTAAAATGGTGCTCAGCCCGAGAAATTCAATTTGGGCCACAACTTATAATCATACAAAACCCGGCCCACTATATAAAATCTGAATCTCAGTATAGTATTGAGATGATAAAATAAGCAATGGGCAAGGCCACTACCATCTGCTTCACTTGAAATAACTTTTTTTTTCTTCTTTTCACTAGCATCTGTTTCCCAAAAAAACACTCCAAGCACTATTTTGATCAATCCAAATTATTATCTCGGAGTTCGATTTTGAAGGTTTTTTTTCACTAAATACTAAACTCGTGAGTTGGAGATAAACGGACTCAAACCGCTGACATCCACTATAAAATAAACTACCGCATCTCAGGCCCAGACTAATTCTACCATAGAGGCTAACGATAGACAATAACCCCTCAACACAGCTTAACTGCTGTAAGTGTATTACTCAACTAAGAAAATCTAAAATAATACAAGCATTTTCCATATAAAAAAGAGAGAAGCCAGAGTTACTTTTAGGCCAAAGCCTATCGCTGTATTGACATCTCGAGGAAGCTTGACGTGGACACAATAAATTAAAAAGTGCTCAGGTGTGGGCATTTCAATTCTCATAGGTTCCTAGTTGTTTCCTTCCTTCTCTGAAAAGATTTACGCATGGAATGGAGTAAGAATTACTTAATATTTATAACATTTACTTGGTCTCGATCAATTTACAGCGGCCAAGTGGTGCGACGGGATATGTTGTGAGAAAAGAAAAGAAAGAAAACGTGAAGAAATTGGCCAAGTTGGGGGAGGAAGGAGAGATAGAGGGCAGAGCAAAGCAAAGCAGTGGTCAAAGGTTTTTAAGAGCCTTAAAAAGGCTGTAACTAAGACATCATGTCATATTCAAGTTATCCCGACATGTAACAACTGTTCCAAAAACACACGAGTGTTTCTGACTCTATATGAACAACGACACAACATTAATTATTAATCACTGCCTTTTCTTTTCTCAAATTTATTCATTATCCATATGAGCAGTTTTCTGTCGACTGTTGAAGAAGATGCGGCCACCCAAACGCAACGCCCCCTTTTTTTTTCCCTTTCATTTTCTCCCACCGCCGTTCGCTCTCTTGTTATTAACAAGATGTCATCACTAGTTGCAGTCGCTTCTCGACCCTAAATTGTTAGCTAGTCGAGTCTGACTTGGCTTTCCATTTAAAATAATTAACAACGAAAACGACCAATTTCCTTTACTAAAATGAATAAAAGAAAAGAAAAAGGAAGAAGTTGCTAAAGTCACACGTATGCTTTTTGCTTGAATTTTATTTTTATCCTTATCAGAATCACTCCTAAACGGACCTTATAAGGAATAAAAGGAAAGAAAAAGAAGAAGTTGGAAGAAGTTGCTAGAGTCTCACGTCTGCTTTTTGCTGGAAATTTATTTTAATTTCTGGCGCTTCAATTTGTGGAATGGGGACAAAGGGTAATGGGTTGGAGAATAGGGCATGGGAAGTTTCAAATGGAGCGTGATGTGATGCGATCTCCAAGTAAAACTAAAGCTTGTGGGGGTCAAGTTGATATTAAACAGGAAATTATCATTTTGGCCTTGTTCGTACTGAATAAACATATTGTTACTAGGTGTAAATTCGACATTATAGATTATTAAATGTGTAATTGTGCTTGTCACATAATATATAAATGGTGGTCCAATGCACTAAGACTAAGATGGCTCGGGCGGCCCTCCCCTCAGTGCTTCTCTTCCCTTTCATTCACTTACTTATGCTCATCTATACTGCCCTCTACAACCCTAATTAAAGTTTTTGTTCCTCCCCTTAACAAATGCTTATCTAATATACTAGTTAATTAATTTCCTAAAATATGGTGCAGGCCAATAACAAAGAACAATACTGGCTGACGACGGAAGATTAATATTTAATATTGCCTTTGATTTTGATTAATATATATTGTGATTGACGATGACCATAAATGATTGATAGGGCAGGGGATATTTGGTTTCTTTCAGATGGTACGTATTGGTTCTGGTCATGCAGCACTATTTGTAAATTCTTATATCCGAACGAAGGAAAGTTGACACACAACATATAATAATGACTCAATTTTTAAGACCTATATGTATATATATGATATATCTAGGTGGTGGTGGTGGTGGCTAAAATAATATCTCTGCACAAATGAAGAGAACATTAGGCGCTATACCGATTCCTCATTCATGATTTTTATTTGTTTGTTTGTTTCTCATTAGAGAGGAGAACTGGTGGGTTCGATCGACAGGCGCACACAACCTGCAGTGATCAATGAATCCTGAATGTGTATGATATAATACAATTAGAATCATGAGAAATATAGATGCAATTTAAATATGAATTTCTGTCCTTTCATCTGAGATTCCAAGGCACTCTGCCTACCGCATATACTTTTAGTTGACCTGGCCTGGTCATCACAGACAAAAATCAAGACCAATAAGTTTAGAATCTGAGAATTGAATAGTGATCTAAAACTCCTTCAACTTCAAGGGTTTTCGTTAAAGTATGTATAAATGACAAATTCTTCTTTTATTGATGATTTTTGTCAAAATCAAATCAAACCAAATTGTTTTATTGCAATTCATTTGGCGGTGATAACTGATCCAATCCGAACCATGCTAGGTCTAGTAAACAATGATGCATATATATATGTTGCATTTGCAATTAATATTTGTTTCCACAATTCCTCATCTCATATCACATGGATAATGGGAGTGAGTGAGCACATGGTGTCGTCGTTTTCACCCCCTGTAGTCATTCCATGCAATATTACATTTATACCCTTATCTAGTAGCTATACATTATTAATCCATGCGTAGGTTATAAGTCCTCTGTCTGTGTCTCTCTTATCCTCCGATGGAAGGGAAGGGAAGGAAAAGAATTATTGCACTTGTTATTTGAGGAAAACTGAAAAAGAAAGAAAAGAGAAAGGAGGAATTGAATTGATCATGTGGATGGATGTGGGGATTAATTAATTAATTCACAAGGCTGGAGAGAAGTGAGATAGATGGCGCTAAAGAACATAATATTAAAAGGCTACTTTTTCAACAAAGTTTCAGAAAAGAGAACACTTTGACATAATAATAAGTGATCCTTTTCCCTTTCTTTCTCATGAATTATGATTGTGCTTGTGTTTCCTCCCTCCTGACTGTTCCTCACTCCTCGTAGAGATGTATTCAATTCTTTCACCAAAATTGTTCATGGTAAATTCTCCATGTTTATAATATGTCCCATCCCTCCCAGTGCTACTAAATTCAAGCACATTTGACATTTCTGGTAATATCCTACCCCACAACCAACCCAACCAAAGCTGCCCAACAGTAAACTAGTGGAATCCATCCATCCAGGTTCTATTTTAGCAACACTTGTGCCCTCTACTTTTTCCCAATTCAGTTCCATCATCATGATTCATGATTCATTGATTCATGATTCATGCGATGCCACCACAACACAACCAACAACTGAAGTACACTTGTCTATTTATTTTATTTTATTAATATTAACTTATAAGCAATACTTTAAACCACACCATTCTAAATATGAATGTAAGGAGTCGCACTTGTTATCGTGACCCGACTACCCTAACTCACGTCTGAAAGTAAGATTAGTTTTTAATTACATATCACTAAGTCCCATTAATAAATATGTCACATCTCATACATCAAATAGTAGTCAAAAAGGTTTCCATTTCTTTTATTATCACCACCAATATATATAAAAATATAAACATGAGTACACATCCACCTCTTGGTTCACAAAAGTAACCCCTAGTAACAAAATTAAGTAAAAAGGGCAAATTGAAAATGATAGAAAGCAAAAGAACAGGTAAAAGAAACAGAGAGAGAGAGCAGACACATTTGGTAATGGACCTAAATGGTGGGGCTTTTTGGTGGGGGTGTCTCAATCTCAATCTCATTGTCGCACCCAGCTCACAAATGCACAGAGAGACACATTTCATTTCATACCCCACCACCACACCACTAGGGTGTGTTTGGTTGGCAGCAAAAAGAAGATTCAAATTTTTTATAAATAAAAATAGGCTAGTTAAAGTTGACCCAACTCGCTACTCGACTCAGTGAGCCATCACCGAGTCGCAACCGGGTTTCCAAGCCGAAGTGGCGATGAGTGGGCGAGTGTGCCAACCCAACATCAAACAACCATTGTTCTCTTCCACTCGATACCCATCCCCGCCGGCGAACAAAGCCAACAGCATACTCGCTTGCTTGAACGCGTTCGACCCAAGGTGGACCGGCACAAAACCGGCCGAGTCCAACCGGGTTCGCCACTGAGTCAAAGTCTCGTGCCTCTCAACCCGGTCCACCCCTTCACAAGCCACCACGTTGCAGATTTGCTTCCCCAAATACAGCTCTGACATCGCCTTATCCTGACTGTTCACCGAGCCCTCTAGCGAGTCAAAAAGAGTCGAGTAATAGTGCAGCGACTCGTTGAACCGGTCCATGAAAACCGGACCGTTGTGGTTTGCCTCTTGCTCCACCACGGTGACAATCTCCGGCTTCATTTGCTTAACCACAGACAGGACCTTCTCAATCGCGCCAGGGCGAGCCAATAACTTGTGTAACTCGAAGACCGAGTTAACAGCCACCGATTCGACCTCGCTCGGTCTGAGTTCGAGCATGGACGCGTCCAGATCAGCCAAGCTGTTCGCCACAAACCCTCTGTATTCAAACTCCACATGGATGGTTTCAGCCAATTGGGCCAGCTTCCAGCCCACTTCTTGGAGATGGTCGGAGTTGTCGGACGCCGGAGGCCCGATACCCGTAAGCCGAAAGGCAGGTGGCCCGCCCGGTCGGAGCGCCAGGGCTTGCATCAGCGCCGGCCACTGCATCCCTTGGTTCATCGAAAAATCGATGACATGAACTCGAGTTTTGCCTTGGAGGGCTTCGAGGATGGCTTGATTGGCCGTAAAGTGAGCGAATTTCAAGTACGGGCAGGTCTCGTAGAAGTGCATCTGCAACATATCGGAGAATGAGTGATCGATTGGGGACTGAGGGTAGACTCTGAAGATTCTTTGAGCTAGAGCTTCGGCGAAGTAGGTTGCAACTTTTCGCATAGCACCTGCTTGAGAAATTGCCAAGTAGCCGATCTGGGTCACCAGAGCTTTGGCCAGGTTGAGGTTGTTTTGCTGAACGGCTTCCGCGCAGGCCATGAGGCCGTGAACGAGTCGGACCCCGTTCTCTTGTGAGTCGACCAGGAGGGCAGGGCGAGTTGATGACTCGGTGGTGGGGATGGAGAGGGGTTGTGGTTGCGGAAGAGAAGAGGCGGTGCGCCGGTTGAAGACGAGGTCAGAGGCAGAAGACCCAGATGAGGGTTTGAGTCGCTTGGCCTCCCGGGACGAAGAATCGTGGTGGGTTTGGGTGAACATGGTAGCTTTGAGATCGTAGTAGTTGGAAGAGGAATTACAGTCGTCGAACACTACCTGATGGTGAGGATGATGATTTTGAGTTTGTGGAGGAGGAGGGCTCAGTGATTTGCTCACCTGTTGATCTCGGAAATCGATGGAGGTGATGGTGGAGGACTCGGCCGGAGCTAAGAACGAGTCGTCGCCGAGTTGGACTTGTTGCTGCTGATTAGGAAGCGGTACAGCGGCAGCAGCCATTAAAGGGTCGAAATTGGGAGGTGGGTTGATCTCGGTGATCATGCTCTCTAGCCACGTCGATAGATCCGAGGGGTTATAGTGAACGGTATCAGAAGCAAGCTGCGAAAGGCCATCTTCCTGAACACTACCCATGAATTCTTCAAGCTGTTCGAGCTTCTGGGCGACCTCTGCCATGTCAGAGGACCGTACCTTGTACCCCAACACGGCCAGAAGCTCGTCCATCCCACCGTCGATTCGTTGGGCATCTTCTTCCCACATCTTATTGGAGGCTTTGCCACAGTCGCCGGCAGAGGTGGAAGCCATGGATGATGGGTCTGGATAGGGATATTGATGATAACTCTGATGCTCTCTTTTCATTTCTTTTTTTCAGGGTTGGGCTGATTTTGGGTTTGTGGTTACTTGTGAATTGTGAAATAGTTTGGTTTGGATTTGGGCATGGGGAGGTGTGTGTGTTACTCAGAAACCAAAGAGGGCTGTGAATGGTTGAAGAATCTGAGCATTGGGGATTGGGAGGGTGTTTGCTTGGTTTTTCACTACCACCACTACTTGTTCCATCTCTCTCTCTCTCTCTCTCTCTCTCTATCCCTCAGCTGAGGAAATAAGAATATTAATGATGCCTCTCTTGAGTTTTTGCCAGTTTTAGTATTTTTATTTCCATTTATTTATTATTTTACAAATAATTAAAAAAAACTACAAAAATAACATATATATATTATATATGTACTCGTGATGGGGGCGCGACCTCCAATGAAGTATCAGGCGAGCAGCAACAACTACTACAGCTCAAACACAAACAGATAAACATGAAATTATTTACATTTTACCACTATTTTCCGTTCTTTATTTTTGGGAAAATTAAAAAAATGGTCACAGGCTCTGCAGGGTGCAGCCTCATATTATTATTGTATAGACCTCCACGTTCATTTGATTCCCATTCTCTCTCTTCTTCTTTTTTCACTTTTTAATGGAACGTGATTTGAATCTGATTTGGGGTTTAGTTTAAGTAAAAAAAATTGAGCTGAGTTTGGAAGACCATGTTCTGAATCTGATCATGAGTTACTAGGTTTTACTTTTTACTTAGTAAAAGTTAGTCAAGGGAAAAGAAAAGAAAAGGACGCTGTTCCTTTAATAGCGACACATCCATTAATTATAATTATTATTGATCATTATTTATTTGGTGGCTTGATGTTCACTTAATTAATTGAATTTGGGTTTCGGGGGCATATGTAGTTTAAGATAAGTGATTGCCGCGTAGGAAAGTTAATGCATGTCTCCATATATTATTATGGTCGTGATTTGCTGTTAATTTAATGATTTCCATCAATTTCATTGGGAGGGAAATCGGATGTAGTCAGATGCATTATGCAACAATTTAGGTAAATTACAATAAAATAATGCTCGAGCCAGATCATTAAAAGTTGTCGAGCTTTGAAGTTGAGCAGCTTAGGTCTAATTAATGTGACTTATCCAATCTTTTTTTTCCTTTGCTTTTATGTATGGCAAAGTTTCGTTCATATGGAAATTAATGCAACGAGCAAGTCCTATGCAATGCAACCGCCAATTCTCAGGTCTCACACCTCTTTTGTAGATACTCGCTTAATTCTCTAGATTTTATTATTTTTTACCTTCACTTCCTCATAGTAAAAACTTATCTTTTGTCGATTGATGTGTAGAGATACTCGCTTAATTCTCTAGATCTTATTATTTTTTACTTTCGCTTCCTCATGGTAAAAACTTATCTTTTGTCGACTGATGTGTAGAAACTTATCGCTATTTCTCTCAAACTCTGATCACCAAAAAGAGAGAAAAGTAAAACCTGGTAAAAATTCTCACACCCAGGAAAAGAAAACATTTCAGAAATCAGGAATTCTTTAACCTCCAATGGTCAATTACAATTATTGTGTAAGAAGCACATGGAAATTATATATTTCACTTAAATACAGTCCTAAAACAAGAAGAAACGACGACACATGTGCTCACATAATGCAGGCGATAATTGAAAATCAAATATTCTTTTTGTTTTTTCAATAAACAAAAACGCAATCATTGATTATTATAAATATGATTACCAGCTAATGGTATTATTAATTATACTCATGAAAGATTACTCTCATTCATGATCAAAATTGACATCGTCACTAACACAAATCCACTGCCCTTTTCTTTGCCAACTTCCACATTTAGATAAGATCGAAATCCTTTCATGTGAACCATACAATATGCATTAGTACTATAACTCCAGCATTCAAGTACTCATAATTTGATGAGACTGCTTTCATATTATAGCCTAGTCAACTTTTACTTAACTTTTTTTTTAATTAACTTTTACTGGAGCTTTCTCCATCATTAAAAGATAAGAAAAGGAAGAGGCAGTGGGGGGTCTGGTTTGGACAGAAGGCATCGACTACATTGTGTATGTAATTATGTGCTATCTGTGTGCAAACAAGTTGAAGCAAATATTCCATGTATATTGTTCTTATCGCCACACAAAATTTAAAATCACAAATATTATAAGATAATGGTCCTCTTCTTTGGCCTCATACGTAAAGTTCCACTTCTTTTGGATGGTTTCAAACTTTCTCTATTTTCCTTTCTGGTTCATATAGAATCTGGGAGATAATAGCTTATGATGGTCCATGACACGTTTCTCAATACAATATTTCTGTACCTTTCCTTGCTCTGCTTTTTCGATGAATCTTTTGAGGGACCATTTGGGACCAACGAGCGCTTCCAAAACCTTCACCATGTGAATGTCCTCATGCCTTCAAATATAAATCAAAATTTGGCACCTGCAACTCCTGCGGACAGCTACCAATGAGTTGGTAACTACGACATCCGTTGCAGACAAGTTTAAAGATAGTAATTAAGGTACTTGTTCGACCAAAAAAAATAAATTTAAGGTACTTGAGTAAAGAATTTGCTAAACCTTTCGATTAGCATCATGATCCCTCTACGAAAGATTTTAACTGCTGTCGAAATGCAGGGATCTTGTCTGCTTTAACTGCCATGACTAACCCCATCTGCCGATAGTCTCTCAGCTGCAAAATTTAAAAAGAAAAACAGAGAAATCTTTATTGTCATAAAGGCAATTAAATTGCAATAATTAAGCCATAGGCGCAATCAACTTAATTAGACATTCGTGGTAGAGTTTGAATGTCTTCAGCATAAGGAAATTTTGAGCTAATTAGTATTGCTGCGATCTCGAGAAATTGTCCAGGAGAAAAATGCTACAAACTATTTGAGAAAAAGTGTGGGAACTGGACTTAATAGCAAGATTCCGTGTAATTTCCCAAACTGTTTTTGTTTATTTGTTTTTTCCAATCCTCGTTCACAAATCAACTAGTAACTTAAGAAGAGATTTTCAAGTTTTCCATCCCTTTCTTTCTTTGGAGGTGAACTACTGTTTTTGCTTATTTGCTTTTTCCAATCCTCGTTCACAAATCAAATAGTAACTTAAGAAGAGATTTTCAAATTTTCCATCCCTTTCTTTCTTTGGAGGTGAACTACCCATAAGTACATTAGTGGATTAAGGCCAAGCAAAGATTTTGAAGTTGAATAGGAATCAATACGAGAAATCAGGACAGGCTGCCAATATCTTTAATACTTGCCTCATGAGTTGCAAGCTGCTGAGTGTGCAAAGAAAATTCAAACGACCAGGAGCTTAGCTGAAATGCGTTTAAGGAAACAATTAGTAAATGAAGCACAAGAGACATGAAATATTATTTATGTGAAATGATCAGTACCTCATGAAAAATTTCATCTTCTGGCTTTATATATATTATTTCCTCGTCACTAGCACTCATGCCCTTTTTCTGGTGTGCATTTTTGTGCTGTATTTTTCCATCCGAAAACAAAATAAATATATAGCAGAGAGAGGGGAAGAGGGTTCAATAGGCATGGAGAATGCTTAAATGGCATACCTTGTAAACTTTACTGACTATTATATAAAACTTAAAACGAAAGAAATTGCGGAGCTCCTCTGTTGGCTACAAAAAGTGAAACAACAAATGTTATTTAAGTAAAAGAATTTGTTCCCGGCAGGTATGGAAATATACATAACCTCAATCCCATATAATCTGAATCTAACCTCATCTTCTGTAGCCCAAGAGACTTCATCAAAGAGTGCATCATAAAGAGGTGGCAAGAGCTGTGGAGGTAAATTCATCACCCGTTGAGAGACCAAGAGACCGACACTCTCTGCTTCCTTTCCCAAAAGTGATTGCAGGTCATCTATTACATCCTTCTCTTGAGATACCTTAAGGAGAAACTCCTTAACCTCCATAAAACATTTGTGGTCCTATTAAGGATTAAAGAAACGCAATCAAGGATCTAAATAGTAGGAAAAAGATATGTAAAGTTAAGAAAATGCCTACCAACAGATAAATGTTAGAAAGATGTAGCCATGTGAATAACTGGAATACAAAAGTATAGATTACTTGCCTTATATCTGCCCAAGTTAAGGGCAGTAGCAAGAGCAAAAATTCCATTGTCTTCATCATCCTCTATTTTAACAACAGTTCCTACAGTGGTCTGTTCCAAAACTAAGTCTACAAAACCACTCAAATCCCATTCTATATCATCAAGGTAGGTCTGTAGCAAGGTCTTCACTCCATGAAAGTCATCAGGTTTTGGATCAAAGAAAGCAAAATCTGCTTGCACAGTTCCCTTCAAAGTATGAACCAAATTCTCATAAAATTGCGAGTAGATACAATATGAAAGAGTATTTACTTTTGTATTTCAGCTATCCTGATACACAAATGCAACTATATGGACAACAAATACTATCAGAATTTTCTATCCCTTAAAAGAAATAGTACCAGAAGAATGTGCTTACATCAAACTCTTCTTCATCAGAAGACTCGGAGTGTTCATTCTTGACTTTCAAAGTGTTCTTCCTCGATCCATTACCTAAAAAGAAAGATAAGGAGTCATTAGCATGTCCATTCTGAAACAGTTAACAGATAGCAATGTTAATTATGAAGTGATGCCTTATCTTAAGGAAAAGGGCTATTTAGTTGATGATGATATTAATACCTGCGGAGTTAGGTTGAGATTTTTTCGGGAGGTCTGGGCTGTGCATTTGGCGGTTGGACATGCAGCTGGAGGCAACCCGAGCGACTTGACGAGCAAATGGCGAAAAAGTCAGGGGTTGATATTTCATCAATCGGCGATGCCTCACCGGTTTACGGGGCATCTTTGATTATCTATAAGTAACTGAGATAGTAAGGCATATACCCCACATACAGTTCAGGTCACTTTGATAAAAAATAGGAATCCAAACATTTCTATGTCCATGAAAAAAATTAGTAAATCCATCCTATCTTTTCTTTGAGAAAGCACAAAAACTCAAAAATGCAATTAAACTCCACATGCTAAGGCAACCAGATAGCTGCGTGTGCATAATTCACATTTGAAACTCACTTAATCCAGTTCCAAAGAAAACTAACTCAATACAAAATCTACTAAAACATAATGACCTACAGACGTTTATCACTTACTAATATGCAGCTATAATTTCATATTCTCACTGTTGTTGGGGCCAATTTACAACTCCACTGAGCTGCTTAACCGAACAATTTGGCTTATTTCAGGTAAGCTCTAAATATCACGAAGAATCCCAAAATAATATAAACCAAATGATTTCAACGGACTAAACAAGGAGCTGCACGGCTTACAAAAAACTGGATGATTCACTTATCGAAAAAAATATAACCAAACAATAATTTAAATGAAAAATAGAAACCCCGAAAATAGAATTGCTTCGCTGAGTAAGTAGGTTATTCAATTCACAAAACATAAGCAAACAAACATACAAAGAACAACTACTTTTTGATGAAACAGAACATAAATAGGAGTCTGAGAAGCAAGGATTATAATGCGAACGAAAGACTTACACCGTACTGGTAAGGAATTAAACCGAGTGGAGATGAGGACCCAAACTCGGCGACGGCGCGGCGGTGGGTGCGGCGGAATCTAGATGTTGAAAAGATTAATTGGCGTAAAAGCCAACACAGAAGCTCCAATGGCAAAGGCTCAAAGGACTTTTCTATTTTCTTCCTCGCTTTTTGTTAGCTTCTCCTCCGAAAACATAACCAAAAGAAGTAAAAGGAACCCAATAACATCAATCATCTATACTGGTAGCTATAGCTAGGATATCTGTACCCTCTCTCTCTCCCTCTCTTTCTCTCTTTCCCCATATTTCTTCAACCACCAAATCTAGATCCGGGGATTTTAAAAAAAAAGAGTTTTGGGGTTTGAGAGTGGCTTGACTATCGGGCGTTTGGGGCGGTAAGGTCGTTTGTGGTGGTGGGTGCGTTGGGGCAGAGATGGCTATTGGTGGGTGGGTGGCTGTGTGGGGTGTGGTGTGGGGTTAGGTTGAGATGGGAGGAGGAGGGGGTTGACGAAGAGAGGGGGTTGTTCCGGCTCGGGAAAATATTTTGTTTGTTTTCAAAATATTAATTTTAAAGAATTCATCCATCCATCAAAAATTGAGTTTAAGTAGGAAAATTAATTATAAAGAAAAATAAATAATATAAAAGGGAAGTAAAAAGAAATTAATATAGGTAATGGTAGAATATGAAATAGAAAGAACAAAAAAAGAACAAAGTTGATTAAAAAATAGGGTTGTGATTTTCCCACTTTCCTTTTGTCCACTTACACTCCCTTTTGTTTTTAAGTAAATTTAGGTTTTAGCCATAAAAAAATTTTCACTTTAGGAAAAAGCCAAAGCTTTTTCAAAAAAGACAGAAAAACCTCTCAACTTTCAAATCAAAGACATATAAGTGTAAATGATTTCTTAGGAAATCTAAAAATAAATAAGAGCAATTTTGTCCATTTTAGCTTCTTTTACAAAATTTCTCTCTCCTTTGGGTTTTTCCAAAGTCTCCCTTTGTTTTTTAATAGTTTTTACTATAACAAAAATGGAAGTGTAAGTGGAGAAAATATGAGTGGGAAAATCACCTCTAAAAAAATATTAAAAAATAAAAGAGAGTATAAGTGAAGAAAAATGGAGTGAGAAAATCAAGTCCCTTTAAATTTCGAACTGAAACGCACATTTGATGTTTTTTGCTACAGTTTTTTATTTATAAAAATTTATTTACGAATTTGCTTGCTAAAGCATGTTTGCTTGTTCTCATCCATACAGACTTTGCATTGCAAAAAGAAGAAGAAGAAGAAGAAGAAACATAAAAAAAGAGAGATTATATTGCCACAAAATTTCAATAAAAGTTATAAAATTCTAGATACTTGTCTTTCATGGTTCAAAACTTCAAATAAATTAGTTCATACCACTTATTATTATACTGGAATTTATCATTATGCTTGAAACATATTATAATTGAAAAGGCTTCTGTTTTTTTTAAATATATTTTTAATTGCAATAATTTACATTCAAAATGTTTACGCCTTAAAATTTTAAGGCTTACGTCTCATCTTATAAGGCATAAAAAATCTGGATGAGTGCCTTGCCTTTTAAAACATTGGTTTCAATCCACAACCTTAATTGTTTATATTTTATTTTATTTTATTGGTTGGTTAGCATGAGTTTTTGTTTTGGTTAATTATTACAAGTTTTGTGTTTTAATTAATTGGTGAAAAGTTTGTTTTGGTAAATTCATACAAAACAAAAATCAACACAAAAACGAATTTATAAAAGGTATGTAAATTTACTCCCCTCATCTCTTCCTCCCCTCTCCCCTTCTCACTTCCTCCCTTCTCCTCTCATCCTCTTCTCTTCCCTTCTCCCATCTCCTATTCTTACTTAAAATCACCTAAAGTGATTCTCCATAAAAGTGCTTTTTGGCCTATCTAAAATCATTCCCAAATGACCCTTACATCCTCTAAAGGTGTAAGTGAGATGTAAATGTGACTTTACACATCCAATTTGCAACTTGTGCATTAGAGATGCTATAATGACTTTAAGTGATTTTATGGAGAAACATTTCTCCCCATCCCTAGCAACGTAAAAATCACTTAAAGTGATAGGTGATTCGGGCTCGTTTAAGGCCCCGTTTGGGATTGCTTTTTTTCGCCAAAGTGGTTTAAAGTGATTTTATGGAGAAGCACATGGGAGGTATTTTTTCCCATAATCACTTAAAATCACTTAAAGTGATTATATAGAGAAACACGTGGGAGGTACTTCTCCTCATAAGTTGATAGGACCCAACCCAAATTCCACTTTGGAATCCAAGCCGAACCTTGTGCATGTCCGACACCTGGAAGGTGCCAGGCACAAATGACCGAATTGCCCTTCTAATTAAAAATCAAAGTTTATCACAAGACCGACTTCTGCCTAAAATTCGGCAGAGTCTCCCCTTTGTTCATTTCCCAAATTCTTCACCTGTTGAACAAGCATATATATATATATATATATATATATCTCTCTCTCTCAACTGTCAGCATGCTTTCAATTTACATCCAGACAATCCAAACACAACAAGATGGCCTTAGGCTATGGGCAATATCAGGGCAACTAAAATCAGAATTTACAACGAAATAGTTTAATTACAAAAGAGGTCCTACGTAGCGGAAAGGATGGATGAAGTGTGATGTCTGCCCTGTGGTGGCGCTTTGATGCACGTCTAATGCCTGGGGGCGCAAAACATTGAAAAATGTGAGTGGACCAAAAACAAAGTTTGAGAAAATAGCATACGAACATACTAACCCCTCCGTAAAAACAGTTAGAAAACTCAATTACATACACATACTATACTTGTACTAAAAACAGGCACGCATATTTATATTTAAATAGCAATTCACACATTTACAAAATTCTCACATTAGTTCAAATTTTGAAAATAAAGATTTCCCTACCACCTAGGTGTACCCTTATTATATATGTCAATTCCTTTAGTTTCCGTCAATTCCTCGTGCCACCTAAGCGACACGTCCTCGCAGGCCTTGGGAACACAAAGTAACCCGAGCCGAAATCCTCGCAGGATTCAGGGGACATTTAGTCAACTTGATATGCATTCCTTGCTCCACATGGTCCGGGCGTCCTCGAAACTTGTGGGGTATTGTCAAACACGCGCTGACTTAACCGAAGGCAATTAAGATGTCCGTGGACATCGTCATATCCGAAGGCAACAATTTATTCCGTAGGTAACATTCATTTCGAAGGCAACATGTAATCTGAAGGCAACTTTGGTAACCTATGGTGGTTTTTAAAATAAAATACATGCCTTTCTTAGAAATTATAGTTTTATTCCTCATCGAACCATTCAAATCGATAATCATCTCAATTCCTACTTTCCAAGCCCTTTGCATTTCAAACATGGCAATATATAAATAAATAAATAAAAATATTTAAATCCAAGTAATCATGCTTGGAAAGCCATAGTCATTAAATACTTATTCAAGATCAAATAATGAAACTTAAAATGCATAAAATCATTTATAAAACAAAAGTCCACTCACTGAGCGAGCGTCCGAGCTCGCTTGACCCTTTGAGGGTCCCTCCTGCAGGTCAGCGTGTGCCCGAGTACCTATTTATCCCATTACAAACATTTAATTAATAAAATTGCTTAACATAAATATTTTATCCATAACCCTGACCCCCGGCTTCTAAAAGTGCATGCACTTATTTTAAGACCATTCCTATGCCCACTTAAACATTTCCAATGATTAGAACAGTCTGAAAAAACCCAAGACTCGATAACCGATAGATTTCCATATTGGTCAATAAGGGACCCTGTGGGTTCCACGACCTCCAATTATCAATCCAAGAGTTTCTATAGGTTCTACACATGTTAATAATCATGTCCTGCAAGTTTGGTCCAAATCGAATGGTCGGATTGATCACGATCGCACGATCGGACGGTTATGTTTTATTTACCATAGGGTTCGTGATTTCGGAGTATCTGGGACTTCGATTCATGATCCGTCGAATCCTATACGATCCTAGAAATACGAGGTACAACATATGTGAGTTTGAGTTTGATCTAATGGTCCGAACATATCGAACCCGGAAATCGCACAGTAGGCGAAATCCGTTCGAGGCTCAAACAGTATCCGAATTGGAATTCAAACACACCTACGCGCTCGTGACAACTAGGCGATCTTTTTAGGACAAAATGTAGCTCCACCACACTGCCCACACGCCGCTGCACGTGCTAGCAGTGCGTGGGTCGCTTGATAAATTTCTGGCGGTCGGAAAAACTCCAAACCGCCGGCCAAGCTTCCTACCCTAGGTTCAAA